AAGCCTGCTCACAACCACACCGTCTCCAAACAACTCCGCCGCTAACGCCATGTGAGATCACGGCGCGGTGCTTACGTGCGCGCGAACGCTGTAATGCGGATGCTCCTCCCAACCACTCCTCTACCACCGCGCGGCCGACCCCTCAGTGCGCAGGTCTCTGAACAGCGATCAGGTATGGGGATGTACAGCGCGATCGTCAGGGCGTAGACAGCAATCTAAATAAGAGGCTTCTTCTGTGCTCGTGCTGTCGTGTTCAGAGACAGCGTGTGTGCATGGGGTGTTGCCTGCTCTCCCTGCGGGTATTTGATCAGAAACGCGAGAAAAAGGAAATAATTTTGAACAGTTTTCTGAAGTTGGAAGGGGCCCACATCCTATGGGCTGCACAGACACGCATCCGTCTGCATAGTTGAAAGAGACATCAAGGGGATAGAATAGATAGGGAAATGTTGTGTTGGTACATACACTAACGCATATTGCAAGCCGGGAATAGATAGATAGGAAAAAATGAGTTGATTAGATCGAATAGCCGAGATAAGGTAGATGGGATTTTGGGGAAAAGGCGGGGAAAAGGAAAAAAGATAAGAAAGATGGATAAGGGAGGTAACATTGGGCAGAAGGGAATAGATAGATTTAGGAAAAATGAGATGATTAGATTCGATAGCGAGATGAAGTAGATTGGATGGAAGGAAGATAAGTAAGGATGGATAGGGAGGACAGTAACATTGCAAGGGAATAGATAGACAGGAAAATGAGTTGATAGATCGATAGCGAGATGAAGTAGATGGATAGAAAGGAAGAATAATGGATAGGGAGGTAACATTGCAATGGGAATAGAATAGACAAGGAATGAGTTGATAGATAGATAGCGGAGATGAAAGTAGATGGTAGAAAGAATAAAGTAGAGTAGATAAGGTTAGGTTGATGTGATATAGATCTAGATATGGATAAATAGACGTAGATTATAATATGGATGTAGATTTTAAGACGTAGATATAGATATAGACGTAGATATAGTATGATATAGTTTAGACTAGTAAAAATGGATATAGATATAGACGTAGATACAAATATGGATATAGATATAGATGTAGATATAGATATAGACGTAGATACAAAAATGGATATAGATATAGACGTAGACAGAGAAGTGCGTGTGTATGGGTGGAGGAGATCCGGTACCTGCATAGCCATTGGGCATTTTGGGTGATAAAGAACCACCTATAGCAGTCCCTCGTGGTATGCGGAGAGAAAGAGAGAGAGAGAGGGGGGGAGGGAGAGAGAGAGAGAGAGCGAGAGAGAGAGAGAGAGGAGAGAGAGAGAGAGAGAGAGAGAGAGAGAGAGAGAGAGAGAGAGAAGAGAGAGAGAGAAGAGGGAGAGAGAGAGAGGAGAGAGAGAGAGAGAGAGAGAGAGAAGAGAGAGGAGAGAGAGAGAGAGAGAGAGAAGAGAGAAAGAGGGGGGGAGGGAGAGAGAAAAGAGAGAGAGAGAGGGGAGGGGAGAGAGAGAAAGAGAGTGAGAGAGAGAGAGAGAGGGAGGAGGGAGAGAAGGGAGAGGGAGGAGGAGGAGGGGAAGGACAAGAGATTGAAGAAAGGGGAAAATTAGAGAGAGAGAGAGAGAGAGAGAGAGAGAGTGGGGAGAGAGAGAGAGAGAAGCGCGAGAGGAGAGAGAGAGAGAGACAGAGAGAGAGAGAAGAGAGAGAGAGAGAGAGGAAAGAGAGGGTGGGACGGAAGAGGTGAAGGGGAGGGGAAGGTAAAGAAAGGGAACGGAGACGGACAGGGTGAGGGAGAAGGAAGATGGAAATGGAGAGGGAGAGGGAGAGGAGAGGGAGAAGGAGAAGAGAGAGAAAAGAGAAAGAGAAAGAGAAAGAGAGAGAGAGAGAGAGAGAGAGAGAGAGAGAGAGAGAGAGAGAGAGAAGAGAGAGAGAGAGAGAGAGGAGAGAGAGAGAGAGAGAGCGGGGGTGGGGGGAGAAGAAGGCTGGAGGGATAAGAGAACAGAGATAGAGACAGAAAGAACGAAAAGACATGAACAGACATGCAAATGGTCAGACATAGACTCCCTGACTGCCTCACCCAAACCCAAAACAGCCAACCACATCCACCACACATTTCCATCACCTCTAAGGTTACCCAACCGCGCTTCCCTTCGAGATACCATCCCTGACAGAAGTCTTAGCGGAGTCCCCCCCCTCAAGTCGGCCTCCTACCATCCCCCCTACTCCTACCCCCTCGTCCTCCACTCGTCATCAATACCCCAGCACTCGTGACTTCACCCCCCCCTCCCTCCCCCCTCTCCACCACCACACCTCTTTCGTCTTACCTCGTTTTTCTTCTCCTTCTCTGGTTTCCTTCTTGTTTTTTTCTTGTTTTTCTTTTTTTTCTCTTTTTTCTCTTTTTTCTTTATTCTCTATGTTTTTTTCCTTTTCTTTTCTCTCTCTCTTTCTCTTTTCTCTCTCTTTCTCTCTCTTCTCTCTCTTCTCTCTTCATTTCTCTCTCTCTCTCTCTCTCTCTCTCTCTCTCCTCTCTCTCCTCTTCTTTTTTTCTTCTCTCTGTCCTTCCTTCGTTTCTCTTCTCTTTCTTCCACTCTCTCACTCTCTTTCTTTCTTTCTTCCACTTCCCATTCTCCATCTTCCATTCTCTCTCCGTCTCTCACTTCTTTCCAGTTTTTCCATCTTCCATTGCCATTTTACTTTCAGTGTCTTCTCTGTTTTTCGTTTTCTCGTTCCTTCCAGTCTCTCCATGTTTCACTTACGTTCTCACTTTTTTTTCATTTTCCTTTCCATTCTATCTTCGAGTCGCATTATTTCATTCTCTCCTTTCTCTCATGATCTTTCAACTGAAATCTCGCTTATCCTTTCCATTCTGTTTTTTTTTTCTATCTCCATCTTTCAGTCTCTTCTAAGATCTTCTCTTTTATTCCCTCTTCTTGCAATGTTTCCTTTCTTCTAATCTCTCCATTTTTTATTCCCTCTTCTTGCTATCTTTCCTTTCTTCTAATCTCTCCATCTTCCTTTAACCTCTTTCTTCCCATCTCTCCTTTAAATCTCTACATTTTCCGTCGCTCTACCTTTTATTCTCTCCTGGCAATATTTCCCCTTTATCCTAATCTCTCCATCTTCCATTCTCCTCTTTCTTCCAGTCTCCCTATTCCTCCTTTATCAATCTTACCATCCATCATTCTATCCTTTCTTTCAAATTCCTACCCACTTCGCTGCGATTTACGATTGTACTCAAAATGTATGTCAATTTCCCCCCATTTGGTAGGTAAATAAATACTAAAAATATCTACAAATATCTTTGCAATCATAAAATGAAAGTATTTCATCTTTTGATTGATCATTTACTATGTCTTTCAATACATCATTTATACGTAAAAATCTACATAACAATCGACACTAGTTTGTAGAGATATACGTATTGTTCTTGTTTGCGAATTGTGTGTAATATTTTCTTTTTCTTTTTCGTGACTTCACTGCTAAGAATAGAAAATTGCAACCCAAGCTCACGTGTTAAGATAAACAAATTGTACTTGAGAAAACGAGGGAAAGAGAGAGGAGGGGGGGGAGAGAGAGGAGAGGGAGAGAGAGAGGGGGAGAGAGGAGAGAGAGAATGAGGGAGAGAGAGAGAGAGAGAGAGATGAGAGAGAGAAGAGAGGACAGAGAACGGAGAGAAGAGGGACGACAGGGAGAGGACGAGGAAGAAACGGGAAGAGGAGAAGAGGATGAAGAAGAAGAGAGAGACGAGAGGAGAGAGGAGGGAGGAGGAGGAGGGAGGGAGAGAGGGAGGAGGGAGGGGGGAGGAAGAGAAGGAGAGGGAAGAGAGAAGAGAGAGAGAGAGACGAAGAAGAGAGAGAGAGAGAACAGTCGAGGAGAGGGAGAGATGAGAGAAGAGAGAGAGAGAGGGAGGAGGGAGGAAGGGAGGGGAGAGAGAGAGAGAGAGAGAGAGAGAGAGAGAGAGAGAGAAGACGAGAGAGAGAAGAGAGAGAGAGAGAGAGAGAGAGAAGAAGAAGAGAGAGAAGAGAGAGAGAGAGAGAGAAAGAGAGAGAAGAGAAGAGACGGAGAGAGAGAGGAAGAGAGAGAGAGGAGAAGAGAGATGAGAGGAAGCGAGAGAGAGAGAAGAGAGAGAGGGAGAGAGGAGAGAGAGAGATAGAAGAGGAGAGAGGAGAGAGAGAGGAGACGGAGGGAGGAGGGAGGAGAGAGAGATAGAGAGGATAGAGGGAGAGAGGAGGGAGAGAGAGAGACGAGAGAAGAGAGAGAGAGAAGAGGAGAGAGAGAGAGAGAGAGAGAGAGAGAGAGAAGAGAGAGAGAGAGAGAGAGAGAAAGAGAGAGGAGACGAGAGAGGAGAGAGAGAGAGAGAGAGAGAGAGAGAGACGAGAGAGAGAGAGAGAGAGAGAGAGAGAGAAGAGATGAGAGAGAGAGAGAGAGAGAGAGAGAGAGGATAGGGGGGGGGGAAAGCGAAAGAGAAAAGAGAGAATTCCCGTTTTTTGTGTATACCAGCCTTTCATGAATAAGAAATCGCATATGGAACCATGAAATCGATAGAGTACAACCCTTCCCGTGTCTTGTTCAAGCAGCCAAGTTAAAGTTCTATAAGTCAATAACATGTTTTCATGCGTGGATGAGCATACGCTCTCTTGGACATAGATAAGAAAAATACCATCAAAGCATCTATTGTGGATATTAAAAGAGGTCTGTACATATTGATTGTAACGATTGACTTCTTTTCATCCAAAAATAAATGGATTTTTCTCACAAGAGCGCGTGAAGGTTACGCGTTCCCGCCACTCAGACGACACGACCCACTAATCGCGTTTAGATAGAAAAGTGTTTTAAAAATTATCTCCAACCTCAAAGAATTCCTTAAAAATCAATTATAATAAGTTTTTAAAAATATTTACAAACTATAAAAGGAGTAAGGTTTTCTATAAAGTATATAACAAGTGTGATATCACGTAAAAGACGGAGAAAAATATTACTGGAACGCATCTGTCAGGTGAATCAGCTGTTCAGAGTTTGTTCGTGGGCGAGTGACAATGTTCCTCCGTCTCTTTTCCCAGATTTTATAAGCTCACACGTCGCAGTGATCCGATTTGCGTCGTCAGAGGAGGGATTTTTAATTCGCCGAGTGGAGGGAATAATTTGCGATATCCTGTGACCCAAAGTGAGTTAAATTAGAGGTTTTATAGGTGTGTGGAAGAGAGAGCGAGAAGATCGTATTAATGTGGCAAACATATCGTAGATTGGAATGATATTTTTCTGCTTTATTTTTTTACTTAGTATTTTGAAGGAAATGGGGTACTGGTAAAGGTACAGGTTGAGTTTCATAAAGCCGCCTTTTAGACGAAAAATAATATATGCAAACGATAGAGCGAGTGATTCCAAGAAACTTATCTTCTATGTACTTCGACTGCAACACAAAAATAACAAAGTTATTGGACACGCAAGTATCTCAGTGCCCGTTTTTTATGGATAATTTGCTTTTGAGTGTAATTAGTTGATTGATATTGACTCTGGCTGAGTGCAGAATATGAAGGGTCGCCTGTACTCACTCGTTCATTGAAAGACCTTGGCATAATTAAATGACCGATATCTAAAGGCTTTTAACAGTTATATTGTCTTCTTGTGTTATTATTCATGGTGCTTTTGGATGGGAAATAAGCTGGAAGAGCTATTGAGTGATTTTTGGTAAGGAATTCTTATTAATTCATTTTAGAGTATAGAATAGAGTCATAAAGATTTTTCAAAAGTATTTTTCATGTTTTGTCTTTGTTGTGTGGTGTTTATGTAATACTGTAAAGCAAAATTGTGTTTATTCATTGTGTGTTTGAGGAAATGTTACGTGACAAATGATGGTGCTTTGTGTTGTGGAATTAAGAAAAGCTGTTTTAAAACTGTGCAATGAAAGTTTTACATAATGTTTTGAGATCAGAAATACAATGCTACAGTCACTTTGAATTTGGCTACAAAATGCAAATTATTTATGAAAAATAAGAGCTTTTTGTTAATAATTGAGAACACATCAGCTCTGGATTTCCTAATGCGACTTTTTCCGAGAGTTTAGATTGTCTGTGCTCTTTCCAAATCAACTTGTAATGCACTGTGATCTCAGAGAGGTGGCTACAACATGCACTTTATGATAGTGTCAGAGTGCCTCGCAGTCACTCTATCAACTTCTGAAACCAGTAAATCTCAATAATGCAAAATGGAGTTGAGACCAATTTCTTGTGTGATAATTAATTGCAAGTTTGCAATCTTTGTCATGTCAGCAAATAGGAGTTTGGTAGAAATTTTACTACCATTGCGAGAGCAGCAACAGGCATGTAGTTGGCACTAATGGTAGACATATGGATATCTTTTAAATCCATATTGAACTAACAATTTATTGTGTTCTACTTGAAAAGGTATTCTATGCGTACTCACAGAAATTGTGTTTATCCATGAAGAAGTCTCATTTTTTGATGCACTGGGAACGGTATACTTATTGTGTATAGAAAAAGCTAGCAAGTGAAATTTTGAAGAAGGAGAAGGGAAGCAGAAGGAGAAGGAGAACAGTCCTTTGGTACTAAGCCAGAATATGAAATAGAAAGTGTATAGTGTGATAATATTTTAAAACTGATAAAGTGACATGTTACATAAGGTGAAACTAGTGCAGTATATCCTTCATAGATGTTGCTTATTAAATTTAGTAATATACTTTGTATTTATTGCTTCCAAGTATTTTGATGATTGAAATTACGATAAAAAAGAAAAGGACCTTGTTTTTTATTATTATTATTATTATTATTATTATTATTATTATTATCATAAATCATATTTTGTGGTACTGTGCTAAGTAAAGATGCTAAAGACCAGCTGTTGTATATCTTTTAGCATAATGACTCAGTAGTTTTAACTGGTAGTAAATGTATTTAGCTTTTTGCTCAACTCATCTGTATGATTATTCAGTTTTTTTATGATTGGAACTTCAAAGGGATTTTGAAATATTACCTGAGCTGTTGCAAATTTTAAGGATTTTTCTACATTTTAGAGTCTCTTAGTTGTAATATATATGTGTGTGTGTGTGTGTGTAGCTATCAAAATAGTGTTAATGGACACCATATGTTGAAAATAGTGAAAACCTGAGTCTGATTTTAGGTACAGAATTACAGAGAATTAAACCTTTTAATCAGGCCACTAAAAAGGCTTTCTTGTCTTTTCAGTGAATAATATTATCGTTATTAGTCCCAAATCCACATGATGATAAACTCAGCCATTGAAGAATGAAAACATGTTTGAACATAAGAAAAAACATTATATGCATGAAGCTTGCTGGTAAACTTTAGTGTGTAAATGTGCTGGAGTTCATTTTATTATTTGTTTTATGGTATATCTTATGTATACTTTTTCTTTCTTTTTTCTTTCTTTCTTTCTTTCTTTCTTTCTTTCTTTCTTCTTTCTTTCTTTCTTTCTTTCTTTCTTTCTTTCTCTTCTTTCTTTCTTTCTTTCTTTCTTTCTTTCTTTTCTTTTTTCTTTTCTTTCTGTGTGTGTGCTGTGTGTGTGTGTGTGTGTGTGTGTGTGTGTGGTGTGTGTGTGTGTGTGTGTTGTGTGTGTGTGTGTGTGTGTGTGTGTGTGTGTGTGTGTGTGTGTGGTGTGTGCTGTGTGTGTGTGTGTGTATGTGTGTGTGTGTGTGTGTGTGTGTGTGTGTGTGTGTGTGTGTGTGTGTGTGTGTGTGTGTGTGTGTGTCTGTGTGTGTATGCGTGTGTGTGTGTGTGGTGTGTGTGTGTGTGTGTGTGTGTGTGTGTGTGTGTGTATAGGGATGTAGGTGTGTGTGTTTAGTTGTAGGTATGGGTGAGTATGTGTGTTGATTTTATTTGCTGATATCTGAAATAATATTAATGAAATTGAATATAACAAGTGATTCCATTCATGGGCCGAAATCACATTATCGAGAACCAGTGGAGAGATTTAGTATAATGAAGATGACGTTTTCATTTGGAAGATGGGAAAAACTGTTCCCGTGTGTCATTTCTTTCGATATTACTTGTGTTGTTTGTTATTGTCATAACAACAAACTTTTTTTGGAGTTCCTTTTTTTATTTTATAGTTTA